TGCCCATGTGCCAAGCTCTCAGAACTGTATCCATCACAACTACTCTCGCTGATCTATGGTACAACAGATTATGTTTGATTTCTGTCTAATCACTAATCTCCTGTTTGATTTCTGTGTAATCACTAATCTCCATTTCGGCATGGATTCACAATTTTTTGCTTTCTGTGTATGTCTGGGACAATACTAAATACTCATATATCAATGCTCTTTTATTCATTCGTTGGGGTTATAGCTAATTCCTTTTGTATTTCTCTCTTTGCCAACTTTTTGCGCTTATTAATTGCCTTGAGTGGGTACTACCCAGTTTTAGTTTTGTGTTGATTGATTATGTATTTATGTGATATGCTCGATAAAAGTTGCTTTTTGCTTGAGTTAAACTATGGACTGAAGGTTTTACTTGGATGTGATCAAAGAGGAAATGTCTCCTCGCTTCCACTTGTGGTTCACAACCCCATCTTGCTGGAAAGTAATAGAGAGTTTAATGCTTAAACCATTCCAACTTTTCTCGTGTCATTTAGGTTGTAAGGGGATAGTTTCTGCTTCTTGGGAATCAGACAATCTCATATGTGTTTCTTTGTGTAGGGTGACCTAATATTAAGAACAAGAACATGTAACAAATATTTTTAGGATGGTTAATCATACATCTTGTCCATCCAACATTTTTAGGACTGGACCGGTGATTGAACTAGTGAGGGCAGCAGTCTAATTGGACTGGCCGAACCAGATCAGTTCATCGGTCAGATAGGACTAATAAAGTAAAAAAGTTAATAAAAATGTGAAAAATAAGGAAAAAGGGGGGGGGAGGTGGAAGGGAACCAATGTTTTAAGAATCGGACCGGACCAACTGGTTGGAATTGGGATTTCGTGAAACGATAGGATTTCCAGTTCAGTCCACTGACCCTGAAGCAGGGCTGAACCGGTGGACATGCAGGTCCAACAACGTTTTCATTTTGTTTATTTAGAAGGGCAAAGTTTATATAAGGTGTTAACTTTATTCTATAGAAATAAGGCGCACCTCAAAAAACTTATTGGAAATGCTGTTATGACTGTAAAAGACCTTCCAATTGACACCTCAACCTTGAGATATATGGATGTGAAAAAAGAAAAAAGATTTCCAGTCTTGGAAATCGTGCATCTTGTAGTATATTATCTAGACCGTCCATTTCTATGATTTTCAAGTGCTTGTAGATCTGTTCGATCTACACTATTTTTGAAAATTTAAATTTCATAATTAGATGTGAAAATAGATATGAGGAACATCATAGGGATTTCCAGCACTTAAATCCCATCTTTTGGTATCCATTTGCGGTGTGCCTCACTTTGATTGTTAAGATGCCAACCTTATTCAAACGTCACCCTTTTTAAAAGATTGAGGTTTGCATAAGGTGCCCACCTTATACTATACAAGTGAAGTGCATCTTTAAATTTTTACTGGAAGAATAATCCGGTGTCGGAAGCCTTACGATGGCATGAAAATCCATGTTCAATGCTAATTATGAAATTTTAAAATCCAAAAACTGTGGAGATCGAGCAGATCTATAAAAACTTGAAAATCTTGAAAGTAGGCAATCTAGATAACTTGTTACAAGATGCACTATTTTTAGGATTTGAAATTTTTTTTTATATCCATACATCTCGTGGTCGTGATACTCAATTGACAAGTTTTCCAACTTTGGAACACTTCTTTTCACTAGATTTTGAGGTTAGTTGCAACCTTTTATATAACTTCCTTTTAAAAATGGCTGCACGAGATTTTGATGAAGAGAAAATAGCAAAATTACAATTAGAGGCTTTTTCTTGAAAAGAGGTTAAGAGAGAGAGAAAAAGAGGTTCAGTCCTTTATCTCTCTCTCCCAAACCTCCGTCGAAGGGCTCAAGCCAGGTTTCTGGCAAGATTTTGGCAGTGTTTTATGAGATTCCAGCCAAGAACTTGCACCGGGTTAGTTTTTTTTTTTTCCCCTCTTTTTGCTTTAATATTTGCTTTAGAAAATAAAATGTAAATGAAAAAACCTGTTTTTTGTTTTCCCCTTGTTGGTTTAGGGAACAAAGGAAACAATTGTACTTTACTTTCCGGAAATATTCATTCAAGAATGCATTTTGTTTTTGTTTTGTAGTTATTTTTTTTCTTTTCTCCATTTTTTTTTTTTGTTTTCCTATTTCTGGAAGATGCTTTTAAACTGTTTAACTTATTTTTTGCTTGTCAAAGTCAGTAAAGAGAACTGTTTGAACTTTGAAATTGAAAACTCCTGCAAAACCCTAAAAAAGTGGAGAAAGCTTAGAGAGAGAGATGATAGGAAATGATCATATATGGGTTTTGTAGAGAGATGGTGAATACTTACCGTGGAGGGAAATTTTGGGGTATTGATTGTTTTTTGGATAGAATTGAGGAAGAGGGCTTGGCTGTAACTTTGGGGGATTGATTGTTTCTAACATTTTGTTGAATTTGTTTTTTAGATTTCTCTTAATCTTTCCATAATTTTCTTCATTTTCCCAAATTATCTCCTTATTTTACTATTTTATTAATTATTAAATTTCTTAGACCAGCTGGATCGGTGAACCGGTCTGGTTGGGCTAGTCCAACCACATTGGTGATCTCACCGGTTCGTTCACCGGTCCGGACAACAATGAGAAAAATAGAGAAAATTGTGGAAAAGTAAAAAGTCTAAAATTAAAAATTCAAGTAAATGAAAATGTGAGTCTATGGTACGTGATATTTTTCAAGAGATTTAAATTTTAATCAGCATAATAAATTGCCTAATTATAAATAGTAAGCTTTAAAAAAAAGCATGTAATAACCCACAAAAATGGATTGTAAATTGAATGACCAATACTCAAGAGATTCAAGCTCATTACAAGACTTCTTGCAAAAACCACAAAAATAATATAATTTTTTCCTATTTTTCAAGCAATAAAAAAAGTGGTTGAATATATTTTTAGGCCTCAAACAAGGGTTGATTGGTGGCCGGATTTTCCATGGAAAATTGCTGGAAAAATGCCCTAAGGATTGTGGAGTTTTGGTAGAGAGAGAGATTGAAAAAATTCCGAAAATGATCCATCTTTTTCTCTCTCTAAAATTTCATTTCCTTAAAACCAAGGTTTGAAAATTCCATGATCCGGATCGGAATCGCCCGATCCAGATCGGGAATCGTCGAAGCTGGTATGGATCCTGCCATATATCGAGAACTGGTCGGGTCCCCTCCGAACTAGGCCATCTCACTGATAGAACTGGCCGATTTTGTCAGAAATGAGTCAATTCCATTAGGTTAGAACTGGCCGATTCTGATTTGAACCAGTTTGAGTGATCAAACTTGGTAAATGCATTTTTGAATTTTTTTTAAGGGCACTTTTGAAATTTTTTTAAAACAAGGGGCAGCAATCCACATTGTATAGTTAATCTCAAAAAGCTGTTACCTTCACGTGGGTCCCATCAACTAGTTATATACCTCATGCATTAATGAGTGTGCATTGCTTACACCATCCAAAAATCGCTATAATTTCTCAGCCAAAATCTTTTTCCAAAAAATTACTATAATTTCTCAAAAATCTAGTATTTTAGGTTTCTAAAATAAATACTGGCAATTGCATTTCATTATTGTGTCAAAAATTTGTAAATACTGAGCACCTTCTCATTTTGAGTATTTTTTGCCTATTAAATTCATTTTATGGTAAAAATAAAGTTCAAAATGCAACATGACAATAAAATGAATCTCTCTATTTCGTTTTAAATTTTTTGTTTTTGTATTAACTTAAGAGTTTTGATTTTTGAAAGAAGCTATATGGAAAAAATTTAGTGGAAGAGGTGGTTAGTAGAGAGAGAGAGTTTTAGTGGAATCAATTGTTTGGAGAGAGAGAGAGAGAGAGAGAGAGAGAGAGGAGGGAGGGAGGGAGACGAGAGGGTGGGGTGGGGAGGAGGGAGAGAGAGAGAGAGAGAGAGGAGAGGAGGGAGGGAGGGAAGGGAGGGAGGGAGGGCGGGGGGAGAGGCCAAGGTGGGTGCGGGGGACTGGGGAAGGGAGACAGAGAGAGAGACCCAAAGATTTGGTAAATTGGGTCCAAAGTTTCTTTAATGAGGTGGTGTGGAAAGGGGACTTATTTGTCCCACATCGAAGATTGTAAGAAGCTAAATTATGTATAAAATGTCTCACAAAGTGCATGTCGGCTGGATGGTGCAAGCAGTGCGCCTTCATTAATGCGTGAGGTGTATGACTAGTTGGTGGGGCCCACGTAAAGGTAATAACATTTTCAGATTAAAAATACAGTGTTGGCTGTTGCCCCTTGTTTTAATTTTTTTTTTCAAAAGTGCACTGAAAAAAATTTCAGAAATGCACTTACCAAGTTTCCTCATTCATACCGGTTTGGAACAGAATTGGCTGGTTCTAGTCTGACAGATTCGGCTAGTTTTTTACAGAACCAGCCTGTTTTGTCAGAGATCTGGCCAGTTCAATGGGGGACCTGGCCGGTCCCCGATGTATAGCAGTAACCGGACCGGCTTCAACGATTCCCGATCCGGATGGGGTGATTCTGACCTGGATATGCGATTTTTAAAACCTTGCTTAAAACCTTATTCTTCTCTTTAATTGGAATTGACAAAAATTTCCCCTAAATGATTAAAAAATGACCAAATAAGGTAGGCTAAACATTGGTATTTTCAACAAAAATAAGGGGCATAATACGAAATGATGGACCATTTTGTCCACTATGCCAAACCGGACTGGACGGATGATTGGTTCATCAGTTTGCAGTTTGAACAAGGGCAGTCCGGTCCGGGTCTTACAACTTTGATCTCTCCAAAGTTTGGCTGCCCTGGAAATGATTCATCATTGAATAGAGCAAAACATACTTTAGGTGATATGCTGTCCAAATGGGAAGAGTTAAAAGAAAATTTGCATAAATCCAAGTAGAGCTGAAAGATGATATGGGAATTAGTATCTTCTAAGTGCAAATAATTCTTGTCATGGGGATTTCAGAGTAGTTTTGGATCAGGACATTCCATTTTGTATGCAGAAACCATGATCCTAATTGGTTGAAGAGGCCAGATTTCTACATATTCATTCTCCCAAGTTATGATGAGAAAGAGATCATAGATGAAGTTACTCGTTTCTTCAAAGATCTTGCAGGTACGATCGAGACTTCCAATATCTAATCCATGGGCCTAGCGTGGATAAAATTTCTTATAAACAAAATGTTAATTTCACCAAAATAATCAATGTTGAGGAAGCCATGCAAACCCACAATAGTGTAGATTCCGTCAAATCTTGAGGCCTCTTGAATTTTTTTTTTTGTTAATTTCTTTTTAGGTCTGTGGTCTTGTGGTCGTGCAAAATGTTGCCTGAATTGGTAGTGGTAGTTTGTGCTATCTTGTTTTATCTGATAACCATGTAAACTTATTGGACTCCATGCAAGATGGATGGACTACTGGGTATACAAGAATGCTGAGCCACATGTTGGGTTGAAAATGTAAAACTGTGTTGCTATGCAAATTCTTGCATATAATTGTGGTACTCATATCATCATTTATAACAAGGTATTTTGTAGTATAGATTACATGAATTCGGGATATTCAATCTTGGTGTTCCCATGTCTTACAATAAGATTAATGGTACAAAGAGATGACCTATTCTAACCATTATTCTTGCTTGATCCATCATGGATAACCTATTAGTTTTTCATCAATAAACAATATTAACCTCTAATACAAATTTTCGGATTAAATTGATTAATTACCAGGTCTCCAGGTTTGATAACTTCCAGGTAGTACCAAGCACAGGTTTCTAGGCTCCGTCTACATTCCAGACAAGTTACCAAACACAGTATTTTCTTGTAGAAGGAGCCAGATCATCCAGTATCCTTGGGATAAGGAACTTCCAGTTTCCAGATGATGACCAACTTCCAGTTGTCAAAAAGGCCCTTAGTGGCATAAGAGTTATGGAAGGACCTTTCACGTAAAACAAGAGGAGAGGAGAGGTGAGGGGAAGAAGCTTTCATCCCCAATACATCAGACAAGGCAAGGAATGATGAACCTCCTCCTCAGGCATCATACTTTACTGTGCTCCACTCGCCAATTCCTCTCAAAGCCCATGCTTGTGTCCCCCCCATTTTTCTCTTCATCTTCTCTCAATCTCAGATGGTTTTCTTCTTCTGAGAATGGGTCTCCTACAAATGACCAACCACCTCCCCAAACCAGTGAGCCCCCAGCTCAATTGGAAGCTCATGACAGCAACTCAGGTTCGTAATGCCCATTTCCTGTTCTCAGTTCAAAATTACTACAACATATGGTATTCCCTCTGCCTCTCTCTAAACCATGTTGTACTCTGCATGTGCTTCTCCTAAAAAACCCAACAATCTCTCTCTCTCTCTCTCTCTCAATTGCTTTATCTTTTTTATGCTTAGATTTCCTATTGAAAATGTATTCCCTGCAGTTAACCAGCTTCACCAAAATGGCGACATTGAGGCTAGTAAGGTTGACGTCATCAACCAATTGCAAGATATCAGCAATGCAGGTCTGCATAAATCTCACTATCCTCATTCCTCTTTACCCTTCAAAATGGCCAATAATCTCACTCTGAAATTTCTCAAGTTTGTATTCATTTTTCCTATGGAGCTTTGTCTTTGTTATTAGTTCTTTTTCTGCTGGCCACTCTCTTATGTTCTCTAAATCTCTCTCTGAGTATGTCTCTCTCTCTCTCTCTGAAATTTGTATTCTTTATTTTTATGGGCTTTTTCTTTGTTATCAACTCTCTCTCTTTCTCATTTGTATTTTTCAATTTTTTTGTTGGGTGGGGACCTAAAGAGCTTCACAATAGGATGCAAAAGTATTTTAAGGGGGATGAGGAGGCATTGCCATCGATCTTTGAGGCCATCCTCACAAGGAGGCTACTGGGGAAGCATGAAGAGACGGATGACGAGCTGATGGATGAGCTGCGGTTCGCTCCCCGTGATGATGTTCGTGACTCAGAGTTTGAGTCAGATTTTGATGAGATCCATGAGACAGATGATGAGCTTGACAACCTCTATAACGCTAGGCAATATGTTGAGAAGAAGATGATGAAGGACGAGTTCTTCAACATGGACTCTGAAAAATGGGATGAGATGATTAAGGAAGCCCAAGAGAAGGGATTCCTCCAAGATACTGGCAAATGCGAAGAAATCCTTGAGGACATGCTCAGTTGGGACAAGCTTCTTCCTGGTAATGCTATTCTCCTCCTCTTCCCTTTTTTTGTTTTTTGCGTTGATTGAGGAAAATGATACGTTTAGGCTTCTTGTGGGCTGCCTCCAAAAAGTAATGGGAAAGAAACATTGAGTAACTAACCATTCCCCTCCTTTGAAACAATAACTAAAATAGAAACAAAAACTTATCTTTATTATGGAGACATCTAGTATCTTGTTTCTCATGTGGGTTATTATGTTGAGTAGTGATGCTAAAAAAAAAAAAAAGAAAAAGAAAAAATTTATAACATATTTCTTATATTTATCATCATCATCATTCGGGCCATATCGCAACTAGTTGGGGTTGGCTACACGAATCCTGTTCTGCCATTCTGCTCTATCAAGGGCTATACTCTCAGTCATGCCATAAGTCACCGTATCTCTTCTCACTACTTCCATCACATGTTTCTTATATTGATTTTTATAAGTCAAATTACTTCATAATATGTTGCTGCAATGAATGATGTGTTTCCAAGAATGTATTTGGTGGAAGATAATATTATTCCTTGAGTTTAGGGGAGATAATATTATTCCTTATTAGAGACAAGACAGTTATGGATATTACAAGATGTTGATATGTAGTACTATGGGGTCATGTCTCTGTGATGCTGTTCTGTACCGTCAACTAGCGAGTCATCTCAGTGTTCCCCGCCTTCCACGCTTTGTTTCCTCACAATTTCCGATCGTTTGCTGTGCAGTTCGTGGGAACAGGGGATACTGCATTGGTTCATCACATATTTTATGAATGATTGTTGTCTTAAATCAGCATTCCTCTTGACTTTCCAGGAAAAGGTTAGAAAAACAGAATACTTATGTGTAACAGTGTAAGTTAGGGGAAGGGTCTCTATCTTATACTCTCGTATACTTAGAACAGCTAAAAAGAAAGCAAATGCGGTCTCTCAAAGACTTTATATCCATTTTGGTTATCGTTATTCATTATTGAACTTGGTTTCTTCAGTTAAGTCCCCTGGTTGTACCTTAGATGCAATTTGACGTTACTTTCCTTTTTCCACTGTCAACTGCAACAACTAAGAAAAGGTGCTTAAAGTTTTCTCCATTTGTATTAATGTTGAAAATTGATGTTGACATTTCATTCATTGTTAAAAGAGAACAGTATGCACCATGCTTCCTTAGGTGCAGAAAAAAGAAAAGGAAAAAAGAAAACTTTAGAATAAACCTGTAACCTCCACAAACACATTGATAATGAGAGGTTAAGAGAGTGGGAGAGAGGGACAATATCTATCCCCTCTTCAAATAAACCTGTAACCCTCCACAGACACATTGATAATGATGTGAAAGCCGTCTTCCCCCATGAATATCATGCTAGCACTCTATAATAACAGTATTTTTCATTGTCTTACTATGTTGGGGGCTTTAACTTGAGGCTTTCTTAACATGCTCCTTTCAGAGAAGGGTGATAAGTCTTCCTTGCATATTTGATTCATCCCATTTTTACAACCTTAGCTGGGGAGATGCAACATTTGGAATTGAATTGCTCATACAAGACATGACTAAGATTTTTTCCTCCCAATCTTTACAGCTGCACTCATATCCAACTCTCTTTTGGTGCCCTCCCTTTTTCACCCTGCACCTCGCCGTCCTTCCTTTTGCCACAACCCCTCATCCCATGGCTGGCCACTCCCCTCAACCTATCAGCCCTGGCCTCCGCCCTCCTCTCTCCACCCCACCCTTCCTCCATTCCCCCTCCCTCTCAACCCCTTCCTTTGTGCTCCTCTTTCCCTCTTTATGATCACTACACTCACCTCATCCAGCTTGCCCAACCTGCTCCTCCCCAGCACCATCAGAGTCCTACCACAACTTTCCACCCCCTGCAAGCTTCCAAACCTCTCCCTCATCTTCTTGCTCAATCGTCCCATTCTCCATTCTAATTGGTGGTTCCCATTCTCTCCACATCGAGAAAGCCATGCAGCTTTCTTTAGTCGGTCTTTTTTCCCCTTTTAGAGGCGACCTGGAAGGCCCACAAAAGTGGGCCAGAGACCTCTGGAACTCTCGGACCTCATTTGCCGAAGATTCTCATCTGGCAACATTCTCTTCTCCTTTCTTTTGGATAAGGACCTCCGTTGTGCACTCAATAGCAGTAACCCTCAGTTCAAAGGAGCCCTTCTTTCCCTACAATGCTGGAAAAAGGACCTGGCTGCTACTATTCCTTAGAAAATTTGGCTTTTAGCATCCCACATTCCCCTTCAATCCTTTCATGTCAATACCTTAAAAATTGGTGATTCCTGTGGGGTTTTATTCTCGATTCACTGGAAATCCTTTGCTTCCCTCCCCCTCGGTACCATTCAGCTTCTGGTTGAAACGCTCATCCCCTCCCTCATGCCACCTCTCATGTGGATCGAGGATGGTGGTTTTCTCTACTGGATTATGCTATCCTGGTCTTGTGCCTCTCCTCCTTCAACCTGCATGCTCGTGACCACCCATAGTTACCGAGATCTCCTACTTTGGTAGGAGATCCCTTCTAAGATCTCAATTATGTAGCTCCCAGAACTGATCACTCAGGAATCTCAATTTTTAAATTTTGGGATCTCGGACTCCACTAGTAGGGATCCTAATTTCTGTTATTAGGGATCTCGATCCCAACCTTAAAGACCAAAACAACAATCAAACTGATGATTTTCTTTGTTTATAGCCAACTAGCAACACAATTATTGCTTGCTTGCTATTAATAATGAGATCCCTACTTTAAAGAATATATAATCTTAGATTATCATACACTTTAAGGTTGGTAACAAGATCCCATAAAGGTTGGAATCTCTATCCCTAACATTTGGGAATCTCGATCCCTAACATGTGTATTGTATGGATGGCGTTCCCAACCATGGGGATCTTCTAGAATTTCACAATTCCTTGCTCCCGATCCCAATCCCGATCCCGGTTCCGTTCCCGCTCCCGATCCCAACAACTATGTGACCACCATACTTTCCCCCATACTCCCATGGATTACGCTTGCCCTATGGACCACAATGAGGGTATCTTGATCTCCTCCCGTACACGCCATCCGTTCGCCCATTGAAATCACAAACACCGGTACAATCGACAACACAACTGTCCACCCTGGTATCTTCATGGTAGCCTCCTTTTATAAGAGCCTGACTCAGGTCCCCACTTTCCTCGGTAATCCCATTTCGGTGCTGTCGAAAGTCTGGTCCACCATCGCCCCTCTCAAGGTTCAAACTTTCAATTGGATTGCCTGCTCCCAAGGGCTCTCACAGTGGACCATCTCCAAAAGAGAGGGATCTCGATCCCCAACAGATATGCTTTGTGCCAATCTGAGGAGGAATCCAACCCCCACCTTTTCATCCATTACGACTTTGCCCACGAACTTTGGGGCCAAATGTTGCAGCTCTTTGGTATCCAATGGGTCAAACCCCCTACTGTCAAGGCCTTGATTTCATACGATCTTGATTCACTTTGGCTGGCGACTGGAAGAACCCTATGGAAGGCTACCATAAGGTGCACTCATATGGATAATTTGGGTGGAAAGAAATACCAGAATTTTTCAAGGACTTAAACTCCACATTTCAGCACTCTTACACAAGGTAACTTCTTTGGCCGCCTTTTGGGCCTCTAATCATAAGGTTTTCTCGGGCATACCAGGGAACTTTATTCTCAGGCAATGGAAAAATATCCTTCCCCACCAACCGCGACAGGCTTCAAGACCTAACAACTGGCAACCATCACCAAAGGGCTGCATTAAGCTGAATTTTGACGGTTGTTATCTTGGGAATCCTGGCCCGACAGGGGCTGGGGGCGTCTTTAGAGACCACCACTGTAACATCGTCTTAACCTATTTTGAGCACCTCGGCCTCAATGACTCCCACTATGCAGAAGCCTTGGCTCTATTATTGAGCCTGAAAAGGTTCAACCTTTCTTGGGGCTCACACCTGATAGTGGAAGGAGATTTACAAAATGTCCTCTCCTGGGCAAGTGGGACGACTTCTGCACCGTGGCACCTAACCTCAATCTTTGATGAAGTTGATCACATTTGCAGGGATATGGACGTCCCTTGGAAGTATATTTGGAGGACGTCCAACGAGCTCGCAGATCTCTTGGCGAAAGAGGGGGGTAGGATCCAAGTAGAAGAGCACGCCCAGTCCGACTCCTTTTTTGTTCTGGACCATAGGCACACAACATAGACACTTTTTATTTGGGCATCTTCCAGCCCTGGTTTATATTTTTTGAAAGCTTCATGTAAATTTTTGTAATCGGGCGGATCCTATAAGCCCATTTTTGTACATGACAGGTTGACGCATTTTTTACCGAGAGACTCTTCAAGTGGGTGCTCTCGGACTCTCACATCTATGTAATTATCACTTCTCAAGAATACAATGTTAACCTTTACTAAAAAAAAAAAGACAACCGTCCACCCCTCTATTGTAGGGACAAAGGAACCTTTCTCTCCTCCCTGGGGTGGTGATTCCAAACCTTTTTTAAAATTCAAATTTCGAATTCAGATCTAAGCCTTGGGACAGCTATCGCCTTTGACGAGCAGCAGTTACCACCCAATGACGTTGCTCCATCTGGCCTTTGTCACGTGATTTGTCCTGAGTACCCTCCCAAGCATGCCTCCACTTGTCCTTGTTCTCTCATTTCCTTCGCCATCATGCCCTCACCTCCACAATCGACGGTTTCCATCTAGCCGGGCGCTCCTATTCTGTAATAATTCTAAAATTTAAAAAAATAAAAATAAAAAATAAAAAATAAAATAAAAAAATAAAAAAGAAGGAAAGAAACTCTTAATAAGTGATGGTCTATATGAGCATGATGGTCCTCAGGGACCATCACTATTTTCAAAATCTTTTGGTTAAGTTTCTTTGGTGCTCCTCCCTTGCCACGTCAAGTGGACGTGGCCGTTAAGCTATAAGGGGTATTGTAACGGTTACACCTCGTTTATGAGGTGTCACTTAATAAAATATTATAATAAGGTGTCGTAAGAGTTTAAATATGAGAGGCAAGGAC